AGCTGCGCCCCCGGGGGCGGCCCCCCCCCCATAGCTGCGCGCCCGGGGCTGACGCTCACCGTGCGCCATGTGCCCAGAGCCAGGCCAGCCCCGAGCACCTGGTGGGCGCATGCAAATGCGCCCGCGGGCACCGTGTTGGGGACCACAGTCTTAAGGCATGGAATTGCTCATCAATCACCTAGTTCTTATTCAGTGCTGAGGCAGCATATTAATCAGGAGTCCAAAACTAGTTCGAACTTCTTCTCCAACTACTCCACTTTTATCATGGCGATCCATTGGCAAGGTTGATTTATTTAAATGATCAATTTTAGTCTTATTTAATATTTGTATTTTTCAGGTATTTGCCTTGAGAGGTCTGTTCTTATTGGTGGTATAACTCTATTGAAACATATTGATTTGCAACTTAAAGATAGCCTTTATACCAAACGTGGTGTTACTTTGAACTAGGAGAACACAGTATCTATAGAGTCATATTTAAGCAGTTACGTAGCTCAACAATTATTCACATAATTTGGCAAATGACATATTTTTTCCTAAACTTTTTGCTTATTTGTGTGTGCTGCACTTGGATGAATATTGGAATGCTATTAAAATGCAAAGCTGAAATTTATTTATTCGAGTGTGCTATAAAACTAAGCTGACCAAAACATATTTTTCTTCTAAAAACCATTTTATTAACCAGAAGAGGAGGTATTCATTGTAGTTAGCTATTTGACAAATGTTTCTGGTCACCCTTAACCAGATCTTCAAAGCTACCTTCATGCCTAAAGCTATAGATAATTTTGAAAAAATCTCATTAGATGCCTGTGTGTATTAGGGATGTAAGCCACTAGTTGACTACCCAATAAGCCTATTCATTCTAAAAACCATTTTATTAACCAGAAGAGGAGGTATTCATTGTAGTTAGCTATTTGACAAATGTTTCTGGTCACCCTTAACCAGATCTTCAAAGCTACCTTCATGCCTAAAGCTATAGATAATTTTGAAAAAATCTCATTAGATGCCTGTGTGTATTAGGGATGTAAGCCACTAGTTGACTACCCAATAAGCCTATTCATCTAGTCTATTCGGCCTCTGCTGTTTTCCCCAACACCATCTCCATGGGGGAGGCAGAGGTGCAGCAGGGGAAACGGCGCGAGTGGGGATAGAAGCAGTCCCTGCTCCTGCGTGGTCTAGACTGCTGCACCTCGCCCTTTGAAATGTGTAAGAACTACGGGCAGCTCTTGTACATTTCAAAGTCAGAGGCATAGCAGTTGACTCTGAGTGGGACTGCTTGGGTCTCTGCTTGCTCAGGTTCCCTGCTGTGCCTCTTCCTTCCTGCACCCTTGTACATTTCAAAGGCAGAGGTGCAGCACTCCCCTTATCGACTAATCAAGTAGTTGATGGAAATTCCATCAACTACTCAATTAGCTGATCAATTGAAATTTAACATTCCTAGTGCATATAATGAAGTCAGATTATTTTGAAAATCTGGCTCTCCATGTTTTTTAAGTAATTAGAATTAGTAGATCTCGCCCTCTCCCAGCTAGTTTTATTCATACCTTAGAAGAGAGAAAACAAGATTTCCTGCTCTTTCAACTCTCAAGCTGTTTCTCAACTTTAATTGAACTTGTCCAAACAAAGTAAATATTTTTTGTGCACTTATCTAAACTAAAAGTAATACATGCATTTTTCTGTTCAACACAGCACTTGATCTTTAATCAAGATTTAAAAATAACATACTTAATACCATCCATGATTGT